CACACACATCATTCTGCTGTGTGTCTGCAGCCCGTTGGGGACTCAGGGGTCATAAACATTTGAAGGGGGTGGGGTACACAATTTTTTCTGGAGAGTTTGGCCTCTCTCAGGGACACCTCAGGGCGACACTTGTTGGGTTTGATAAACTGCGACAAAGATTACTAGTTTATTTTTTGTTGCAGGATGCTTAAGTAAATATCCTGCATGGTAGGAAGGACACTGAGTGATGTGGCTCCCAGTCCGCCTCTCCAGCTCTATGACATGATGTGAAAGTGTTGGTGCTTTTTGACACATTTTGTGCCTCCATCAGACGTAGGCACAGTTTCTCTTTCAGAACTTAATAAGAAGCACAAAATGACTCTGGAAAATAAGGAGTTGTAGATCTATTTACAATATGGATTACGGAAACAATGGCTTAAATAATGACCATAAACTTAAATGTTTTTTACAGGATACAGATAAAGATAAATGATAAAGCTATCACGTAGCAGAATAGTGAATCAGTCACTTAGTGAGAAACATGTCAAACAGAATGCTTTCCAACTTTTTCAAGTCACATCAACATCACTTTGAATACATCGGTCAATTTCCTGCCGAGGAGAATCAAAGAAACACAAATTCTAAATGTGAAACTGCTTCACTTAGTGTTTTTTTCATCACTTAGTCAGGTTGTTTTGGAGAGTTTGAGACTTTGCAATATTTTGGCATCTGGTAGAAACCAATTACAAGATGAAAACTGAATGAATCCTACACTCTTAACTGACCTAACGTCATTAATCACATCAGAGCCTCTCCTCACACCCTGTGTCCACATGGACGTATACTGTAGAGGCAAATGCATAGAGAAGACTGGTACCGGTAATCCTTATGAGCAACAACGAGCAGATAAAGCCTGTTCCAAAAAGGGTGAACCCTGTGTTGGCTTTCACCTGCAGACGTGGAGTTGGTCTGCTTCCTGCTGGACAGTCAGGTGCCAAACACCGGCTGTAGGCTTGAAGTGTGGGTACAAGCAGTAAATGTACACACTACGTGATGCAGTGGGCGTGCACTTCTGGGGGCGATGAGCCCAGGAGGAGGGCCCCGTTTGAATGTTTTGTTTACAAATTGCAACAGACAATGCTACTGACTCCACCTTTAAGTACAGTTTGATAAACTCTGTTGTCCTGTACAGTCATCAGGTTTCTTTAGGCTTCAATCATCATCCTCACGCATCATCCTCATCCTCATCAACGTAAAAAAAAGTTCTTTTTCTTCTCCTATATTGCCCAGCCCTACTGAAAAATGTCTGCCCGGCAGACAGAAAACAATGGTGAGGCTTTCTGGCCTTCAGTCTGAGACTATAATGACCTGATTTAACGTCATCATGTGGCCTGCTTCTCCTCTCTTACCAATTGAAATAATTTGATGTAATGAGCCTTCTCCAGGTTTCAAATGACCCCCAACTCTCTCTTTACAGCCAATTTAAGTCACAGCAGAGTGCTCTGGGCTCAGACATTTCATTTCACACGTATAAAAGCTCACAAGAGCTTCAAAAAAAGTCCATATGTGTTCATCAATTCCAAGCAATAATCACTTCATAGAAAAGGTGTGATCACCCTTTGCAGTAATATTGTCAGGTAAAATCACAGCACATAAAGAGACTGACATTTTTACTGCTGATATCAACATATGAAGTTATGAAGATCTGTGAGAGCTCTGTTACGAGTACGAGCATGACTCAGGACTTTCTTCTTTATTCTCCTGCCCCCCTGTTGCTTTGAACCTACTGAAACGTTCAACTGTAACACCATGGGGGCGATCACATCCACCCACATCCAGGATTATTAGTAACACTGCTGATTACAGCAGAATCGTCCTCATCACTCCACCTCTCACCCTCATTGAAGGTGGTCCTGCACGTGTGGAATGCCAAAACTTTTCAGGTGCATACCTGAGCATGTGTGTCCAAAGAGAGGTGTAATCATAAAGCAGCAGGGGTTTACTAAATACTGACTTGTTGCTTAGTAACAAGAACATAACAAATAGAAACAATCATTTGAATACATTGGTCTAAAGTGTAATTGAAGTGCACGTACTCTTCATGGCCTACAAGAACGTTCCAGATAAAGCCCCGGGTGAGGTTGGATTCTGAGCTTATCATTTTGCTTCTGTCTATGTCAACAAAGTATTTTATAATCATAAATAGTTCTTGGTTCAACAGAAATGATATGGTGCCGGGAAGACAGGAAGCAAAGAGGGCACATCCCTATTGTAGGGGGTCGTAAATAAGCTGGCACTAAATGGGCACTGTGATCATGGATGATTGGATCATTAAAAAAAGATAAAGAAAGAACTTCTGGATAACACACACCAAAGCTTGAGATGCCTACAACTGAGCAGCAGATGTGTTTTCTGCAAACATAGCCTGAGCCTGTGTAGCGCTTTTCTGGTCTTCTGACTACTTCACACACTGATGGCAGAGGTTGCTATGTAAAGTGACCATCAGAAGCAACAAATTCATTCACTCACATTCATAAGCTGCTGATGAAGCAGCGGGAGCAACTTGGGGTTAAGTGTCTTGCCTAAGGACACATCGGACACGTGGCTGCAGGAGCTGGGGATCGAACCCCTGACCTTCTGGTTGAGAGACAACTGACTCTATCAACTGAGCCACAGCTGCCAGAATATAATAAAGAGTATTTATTCTGAGATCAGACAGCAATATGTTCTCATCTCTCCAAATCCAGAGGCTGAGCTGTAGTGCCGCTGTATGCTCTGTATCACGTGTTGTTTCTGTGCATTGATGTACGATAATGAACTCCAGACATTCATATCTGAAGTGTTACAACTGCAGTCACAGAAAACGAAACCAGCAAAACAATTTTTTAAGGAATGTGATTGGTTAGGAAAGATCTGAATGTACTGTAAGTATTAATCCCTTGAGACTTAGACTTTAGAAGTTAGAGGATTCAACCACATGAGTTTGCACCAACCAGATGTTGGTCTTGTTGGAAAACAAACATCCACTACTTTAAGTTAACAGATATAGATAGGTAATGGATGAGATTAAAGGGATTTGTCATATTCAGGCTGTAAAGTAGACATTGTTATATTCAGAAAGGTTGGTGGATGAACTGGCAAACTTCCAGAGATGGAGCTTATCTCTGCGGTTGGTTTTGGTTCAGTGACTTTTAATGACCTCAGAATCATTTTAAAGATTAAATCAAAATAAGAAATGAAGCATTGAACCTTATTAATTCCGTATGTGAAGGTCAGAGGAACGAGCAAAGTTTAAGGTGGCCTGAGAAAGTCACATGACTAATGTCACCGAATGATCTTGACTAATTAATCTGAATCTGATTATGAACAGAAAACTTCAGCTACCAGCAGCTAATAGAAGACAGAAGAGGAGGGAGGGGTGTGACGAGGACAAAACGATCCCTTTTGTTCCCATTGACGAAGAAGAAAGAAGAACTAACAGACTACTTAAGAGTCGAGATCTCTGACAGAGGAATACAGACACCTCTGAGGTGGTAGGTGTATTTAAAGAAAAAACATTTTGCAGCAGGTGGTGGGTGATATAAAAAATGCCTTTTGTACATTTTAAAGAAATGTTTTATTATCAGAGCTGCTGACAGTTTGACTGTTCCTGCCAACCAAACTAAAACATGCTGTTCATGAACTTCATTAGATGTTATGACTCTTTTCCTTTATGTGGATTTGACTACAGATGATTTGGTTTAAAAGGCTTCGGTCAGTAAGCAGTAAAGTCCTCTATTAGGCTAAATTACAATCCCACATACATACAGTACTGAGCATTACTCTGGATTGTATGTAAATATTTATGATCTGTTAATATTTGAAACTTAGGACTGTGATGGAATTTCTGTAACTCTGTAGATGTACAGACATTGAGCTCATTCCCGGGGCTTTATTGGCAGACTTGGCCGTTTTCCCATCTGCACTCCTGAAAATATCTAGATCATTTTATTCCTGCATTCCCTGTATGTGAACAGATATTTTATGTGTGTGTTTATGATTTTGCCTTAAGGTGATGTCCTCATAAAAGCAATTAGCAGGTTTCAACATCACCTGCACACACTTTTATATGACTGGCTCTTAGTTACAGTGCTCATTATAACATTTACCTTCTTGCACGTGTGGAATGTCAAGTTACATTTAAGGTGCATACCTGAGCATGGGTGTATACAGTTTAGTAATTATCATAACCTAGTACAGTTTTTAAATGTTGACTTGTTGCATAGAAACAAAATCATTAAAAAAATAGAAAATAATCATTATATCACCTCGGCCCTTCTGTAATGACAGTGCCTGTGCAGTTCACCACCTATATAAACGTGCCATGCAAAGCGCTCCAGGGGAGGTTAAACTGTAAGTTTCTCTATGTCAATAAAACATTTTTTTTTATGATTATGATGTTATGATGCTTTGACGAACAGCTGTAGCCTATTGGTTAGTGAGTGTGCTGCATGTACAGTGGCTGTAGTCCTCAAAGCGGGAGGCCCGGGTTTGAATCCGACCTGTGGCTCCTTCCCTGCACGTCATTCCCCACTCACTCTCTCTCTCCCTGATTTCTAACTCTATCCTCTGTCCTATCTCTAAAAAAAAAAGGCACAAAATGAACAGCTGCTTTTATATTCTTTCACTTGTTTTGTTTTTTTGTGCGAAATCAATAAAGTAAACTAAACTGGTCATGATGTAACACAAGTTAGTAACCATTTAACGCATTTAAAATGTACACAAAGCTTCCGATGTTCTGCATTTCAACACGTACGTACATCGTAACCATCAAGTCCTGACGAGCCTGAGTAAGAGCTATAACCACAAGAGACTATCTTTTTATTATGCATACAAATAAAACATGGATATATTTGTTGTTATGGAGAAGAAGAGTCTTTTTTAGAGAGGGAGACAGACTCTGAAATACTTGTGATGAATGTGTCTAAAGAGAAACATAAATATTTCTAAGATTAGTTTTTGTAAGTATGGCGTGCACTTACTCTCTCTCCTTCTCGGTGAGTCTGTCAGTAATGGTGTCCTTGATGGAGGAGCGGGAACCCTTGTGGATCACTGGATACCTCAGAGGGACCTGCAGGAAGCACGAAATCATCAGGACCAGGTGCGACGTGTAACCCAGGGCGACTGCCACGCTCCCATCATCCTTTGCTGTGGGACAGAAGAAAAAAGAAGAAAAAAAGAGAGAGGGTCCAGTCATCACATGTGAGATGGAGTTTCATAGAGCAGACAGAAAATGTTGTTAATCCACCCTGGGCTTTAAAAAGGGTGATCTACGGAAACAAGCCAAAGCCATCAAGCCCGTAACGTTATGCAAATTCAATTCAAACCAGCAGCATTTCAATCAACAAAGAGTGAGTATTTCATGACATCAACATCTTCAAAGCACTCAGGCAGAGATGTGTTTTGTTTGAGATGGAGTTTCATTACATGGAAAAATAAGTTCTGAGTACATAAACATGTCCACATCTTGTGAATCCAAACAAAAAAGAAGAGCAAACATCCGACCAAAGACAGCCATGAAACCGAGTGTTCACAGGAAGTAGAGCAGCGCATTCATGTGGGAAAGTGTTTTGAAAGTGATACAAAATGTTCATGCATCACGTCAAACTATCCCCTGTGATTCCAAAGAAGTCAACGAGTGGGAATCTGGACGCCTCTGTGAACATTTCTGACTGCGAGCTGTCTCGAGAAATGGTTTCAAGACAACTCCGCTAAGTGGTTTCACATTCTGGAGCAGCAGCAGGACACTGCTCGAGGCAGACACAAAATCACCGTGGTTTGTATCTCCATGCCTTGAAATAATAGGCTATGGCGATGCTGAGCGGTCGAATCTGTGGCTCATGATGTCTGCTTTTCAACTTAGTAAAAACAGAGAGGATAATGATGCAGAGCAGCCTTTCTGTGTTAAGTCCACAGCCACCAAAGCATCTGGAGTAAACAGCTTCCTGGCCCCAGGGGCTTATGGACCACACTAACAGGTCAACAAAAGGACGTGAAACTAGAAGTGACACCTCAGGGTGCAAACTGAGACCGTTCTTATGATGTCAGCCTGAGCTGACAGTGAAAGCTAAAAGTAAAACTCTGAGGGTCTTGAGTGAAGTACCACCGAGTTCCACTTTGACTCTCAGTAGGATTAGGACTCAGACTGACCCTGACCCTGGTCTCTCTAAAATGGGAACATCCTCCCCTGTAGGCCTTTTGTAAACAGACTTCAACACACACTCAGACACTTCTAAACTTGATCCGACTTTCTCGGGTGCAGACCTCACACAAACGAGAGCAGGGGTCAGTGACGGGGTAAAAACGGAGTCGTGAATAACCTCCATCTCTTTTCTTTCTGAGATTGAACAGCGCTTGTGCTTCACTTTGTGGTCACCCATATCTTTTGGTTTTCAAAGGGATTTGGCAACGTTTCTTTTAAAGCGTAAAAGCATATTTAAATGACATATATTGCGATGAATGTTGGCTATCAACTGGACATCTGAAGAAGTCCTCAATGCAAGTGTCCAAAGTGTGTAAATGTGGGACGAGATCTTGGAGATGCCTTTGAATGTAAGGTGGATTCCTTTCACAAGCACCCAAGTTTTTGTTATTCCTGTGTGTGCATTTTCATATGAATCGATATTATCTATTTGTGATTTATTTGTTTTATCTGGTTTTTGCACGAATAAAGAACCAAAGATCACTACTGGAGACTTTCCAATACCAATACCAGGACTGGAAATGTCGTCAATATGACCCTTTATCAGAAAGGGTGTTGCTCTGTGTAATATTAATTAATATCATTTTTTAGACCTAAATTATGAAGTTATATTGCCCAAAATCAGCTTCTTCTCCACTTCAAAAAGAAAGACTACGCAGCAAGTGGTGTCACTAAGCAGTCAGCTACTGTTGTCTTAGCGTAGCTTAAAAATGACTTCTTTAAAGTGACTGATTATGTGATGACAGTAAACAAAAGTTCTGTACACACAGAGAGTAATATTCGTCAGCACCACACTGATAAAAAATAAAGCTTTGAGTTAAAACATGATTGCTTATCTGAGAGTCTTCAGGGGACGCAGGATGTCTGAGGGGCTGTGAGCTGAGCTGACGCTAACATTAGCTTAGCTTGTCTTTAGATGCACTGCCTATTGTAAGGTTATGATAACTGTACTTTACATGTTCATGGATTAAAAGAATCCACACAATCCGCAGAGGTCTCCTCCTCTACAAAACAGACTGACCGGGTAATTTAAAAAGCAGAGTTTGTCGGACCCTTTTTCTTAACAGAAAGCAGACACATGTGGAAAACGAGTTATTCTCACATCTGTCTGTCTTTCTTATTATTCATAAAATAAACAACTGCAAAGTTGTTTTAGACTACTGGTATCATTGGAAGAACTGTTTTTGGATATGTAGGATAGTCTGTAAATATTAATGGACCAAGCCTGAGTGATGTCACCTGTCTGTTCCTGCAGGGGGCTTTGGAGTCCCATCGATGGCGATCGCAATGATGGAAATTCTGTCTCAACCTAACTTTCAGTCAACCTAACGAGTTTTAAGCCTCCTGACAAACTGCAACATTGTGCCCGCCTGTCTATCAGGTCAGCCTTTCGCCTAAAAATGCATATCGTATCTTACATTAAATCAAAACGGATGAGTTATAACCCCCCTGTGGTCACACTTTCTATGTTAGAGGTGAATATTAATGACTACCTGTTCACTTTCTCTCTCTACATTTCCACACAACAAGTCAACTGACCATGAGGGAGGAGTTAGAAGTCGATGCATTAGGATGTTTTCTGTTAGGCCTTTAAACTCCGCCCACTGCACATGCTCAGTCGTTACTCACTGCTAGATGTCTGCCTATTCAGGGAGGGGAGGCAGAAGCAGACGCAGGCCGCCACCTTAAGGGAACAAGTGATCGCTGCAAACACAAATGTGCTGTCTGTCACCAGTGTGCACTTCACTGGGCACTCTTAAAAGATGTTAACAGGTGGAGAGGCAGACAGCGGGGAGCGGAGGAGACAGGGAGCAGTATTTTTGAATTATGGCTTCAGAGGACCGCGGGGTCTCACCAGCTGTGCCATGGGGGGGACTGAAGAATGTCGAGCGGACAGTGTGTTCTCACTGTCAGACAAGTGCTGCACACCAAGTCTCAATCCTTCAATTTATCTCAGAGGTCATGAAGTCATCAAGTTCCGCTCGCTTGTGACAGCAAATCCCATTTATCCCGACACATACGGCACGACCCTTACTCTAACCCTCCACACCGACATGATAACAAGAGCTCTGTGGCTCCAACTGCTTTTTTTTTTAAACCAACAATGTGTCGCAAAATACCCTAATATTCACCATGTGGTTTTTGTAGCTTTCTTCTCAACGGGATGTTGGAAGATCCAATCATCTGGGGACAAGACACTCAAAGGCTGTGGGATTACCGAACCACTCGTCGATTAACCGCCGAGTAGAATTCACACATGCTGCCCAAAAGGCACAAAAATGCAAAACCAAAGTCATTTACTCTTTCTGCTTTCTCTGCTGGCATCTCAAGTCAACAATCAATCTTCATACTTTATGTTTCTTAGAGTCCAAATTCTATCTAATGTTAAGAGCCATTGTTGACTCTGATGTTTTCAGTTGTTTTACACTTGGCTGTTTAATAGGGAGAAAAAAACAAAACAATAATGGACCAGGAGGTTTTTTTTTCCTTTCCACCGTAACCTCTCCCACACAAGTGTCCCTGTAACCGCTTCAGAGTTCACTCCACTACCAAACAGAGGTAAGCTGGTCCACTATCGTTGTTCTTTCTATCATTGTTCCTGCTACAGCGCACCTTGTATTACCCATCAGCACGCCAGCTTCCATTCATAGTTTGTGTTTAATATGAAGCATAAACAATCTTCATACTTTAAGTTTCTTAGGGTCCACATTCTTTCTAATGTTTAGAGCCATTGTTGACCCTGATGTATTGCTGTTAATATGAAGCTTAAACAATTCATTTTGTTTTCTGTTCAGAGCCACACCAACAACCTATACCAGCCTGAAGCGACAAAATAGCATGGGATTACACTGTGATTAAAAAAAACTAATGCGTTAATTTCAGACCTTAATTAATGGTGATTGACTAGTTAACGCTGACGGCCACAATAAGCACTGAAGGAATCCCTAAAAGAAGCCTAACACCTATGAAAAGATTACAGCATGTACTAAGATCCTGTGTCCGCCTTAAGAGACTCGTCCTTTAAACACTACCGTATTCAGAGTTTAAATCAGTGAGTCTGTTTGTGTTAGAAAGGAGGACACCTCTGCACATCATTCTGCTTTCTGCAGAAACCACATGAACAGTGAAGTTAAAGGGTCATAGGAGAAATTGTAAAATTTTTACCCTGCATTTCTCTGTGTACAATAACACATTAAAAAAATAAAGGTGCAGAATTTAAACTGACACAATCAGAGCCAACTCTGGGTCCTGTCAGCTGATGATTCTGTTTTTAGGGAGATAGGATACTCATCTTCCTTTTTTACATTTCTAGCTACAGCCTGGGTCCAACATAAAAGAATCTGAAAGCCAAACTGGCCTTCCTGCAGTCCCGACCTGTCACCCCCTATTTTTGAACAGCGGAAATCTGTTGAAAAAAAAATCTTTCTCCAATCGTGCGTTGGAGAAAGGTAAAACTTAGAGACAAAGCAAAACTAAGCAAGCTGTCTCTCTTTATGCTGACAAATGTATTTGATCAACGTTTCAGTCTAACCGACCTTCATAAGGTAAAGGTCGGTGAGACAGAAACTTTGTATGATCTAATCAATTTGTCAACATGAAAGTGTGCAGGAGCGTTTTTTTATCATCAAACAGCTGAAATCTGACATCAAGACCTTACACTTTCCAACATACGTGTCTCCTCAGTTCCCAAGTGTACACAGTGTTGTTAAAAAAGTGATACTACAGGGTGGTAGACATGACCCTGTCCCGACTTCTTTTAAAACGTGTTGCTGGCATAAATTCCATTTGGTTTTATGTCCAAAAACAATGACATCTTGCAGTTTCAATGTTCGATATTTTGTCTTTGCGCCATTTTCAATCAAATATGGGTTTTAATGTTTTGAAATCACATTCTGTTTTTTGGGGGGTTTTTTAAGTTTATTTCGGGGCTTTTTTTATGCCTTTACTTAAAGAAAGGACAGTGGCTAGAGTCAGAAATCAGGGAGAGAGAGAGAGAGGGGTAAGACATGCGGGAAAGGAGCCACAGGTCAAATTTGAACCCGGGGCTGCCTACTTGGAGGACTACAGCCTCCCTACATGGGGCGTGCGCACTAACCACTTGGCTACTGGCGCCCCTTTTGTTGCATTTTACGTCCCAACTTGTTAGGCAGTGGGGTTGTAGATCAGCGTGAAGTGTTTTCTCTCTGCTGTTACTACGCACAACAGGAATACTCAAACATCACTTTTTTTTTAATTTCTCACTCCTCCAATTAAAAAAGAAAGACACACTCAAGATGGCATGTGCGTGCTTACAAGTCAATTTTAGTTTAACAGCTTGTTACTACAAGACAGTCATTATCATCCCAGAGTATCTGAGGTCACTGTTTCAGTGTCTTTAGTATGAGCAGAGTGAAGAAGACAGCCGTCCCCTCCCTGCTGATGATCACATTATGTCTTTATGTCTTTATGCATTCAAATTAATGACCTGTTATTATGAACTTATGTCACTTATACACGTGAGAGACTTGGCACAGTATTTCAAATTACCACCTCCAGCAGCCAAACGTATGACATCATGCAAACCAAATGCATGAGCTCATCAGTGTTCAAACTGAGAAATGTTTAATTACTTTTAATCACCAAATGATTACACCTAACGACCTGGATTAAAGCTACACAAAAACATTTGTTCAGCATGATTACTACAGTTTATCCTCCTGTTACCTGAAAACAAAAGCAGGCACATGACTTACCCTGGAAGTCTTCAGAGTTTGGCAGCTTCACTCCACAGATGATATAATCTGACTGATTAGCCTGTGGATGAAAAAGAAGGACATTAATTAAAGACAGTGATCGGGCTGCAGACACAGACACAAACAATAGTGACACTAAATCATTCTGTTACTCTGTAGTGCTGTCAGCATGTCAAATATTTAGTTTGGATACTTAATGGTTTAAAAATATGGCCAATGTTTGAAAGAGAAATATGTTCAAAAGAAGGTTGACAGCTTGGACAGGATTCCCTTGAAATATTTAGTATTGTATCTAAGTGAGATTGGATTTTTATGTCGCCACTGCAGAATGAAGCTGTTTCCATTTTGAATCATGAAAGCACTCAGTCTCAACATTTTCACATTGTGGCAAAACAGAAAACTTTGCTGTATCAGTGAAGTCCAAACCGTGATCTTTTTCTGAACCTTAACAAACTGTGAAAGTCTGAAAAACCAACACATTGCAAGTGATTGAAGTGCTGGCTTCTCTGACAACAATGCAGCAGCCAGTATGTCCTCCTTCTAACTTTAGATTCTGCTCCTGAATGCTCTGGATTTGTTTGGACCAGAGAAGGTAGGCGGTTTTAAGACACCCCCACACGGCCGTTTTGGACGCCCCTCGGTTTGTCAGATATGAGAGCAGTTATCAGGTCTACAGGTGTTGCAGTGATGGAAGCGGGTAAGAGAAGTGGTTCAGATAGAAGTGATTGTACCCGACCTAAAAAGCCTCTGCATGTTTCTAATAAGCTCCACGAGCAGAAACGTGCTCAAACTAGGATCAACATTGGAGATGCTTTTGAAAAATGGAGAGAGGTTAGAACACAGAAAGGTTTACAGACTGATGCAGAGCTGGATAAACACTGAAGCTTCAGTGTCCACCACATGGTGACCTGCTTGAGAATCCACACCATGGAGGAGGAGGCCGGGATAAAACAGCTCTCTACAATGTTTTGAATTTAAACTGCAGTACCCACTTTAAACACCAGGTGTCAGAGTTACATATTGCTCCTTTAAGCTTAAAAAGAATACTATTTTTTTTTTAAGTAGATGTTTCTCTGCAGTTGTGTTGTGCTGCAGTGCACCATTAGGATCAACTCACCACATCGATGGGGTAGATGTAGGAGAGCTCAGACAGGAGCTGACGACAGCGGAAGGTGAGCTGGGCGTTGGACTTCAGAAACTGCTCTCTGGGGGACACAAAACCAGACATGAGAATGACACGATTAGTGACCGGATGAGAGAAGGAGTCCAAAAAACTGCTGGACATGAGAAGTGGTGAGGCGAAGCAGCATGTAGAGAAAGAACAGAGGAGACAGAAGAGGAAGGAGTGTCGCCTGAAGGGAAGCAGGGGAGCTGTAAAAATCATCCAGGCTGCTCCACAGGGACCTTCTGTAAGACCTAAAAGTCATTACAATGGTGAAAATATTAAACATTTAAGAGTTTTATGCAGTATAAAGATGTAATGGAACAAGTTAATGTTGGTTCACAGAGGAAAATAGTGTTTTGGTTTTAATCTGGGCCTTGGAAGGATACACTTAATGTATTTTTATAGTGCTTTTTCAGGAGTTCATATGTGAAAACAGCTTTAGAGCGTCATCTGTAAATAACTCATGGGTTTATATTATAGGAGAGTTATTTGTTATATGAGCAGGCTATGTATACCCTGGTATGTCTAATCATTTAACCAGAGCACTCAGTGATCTTTGAGTACCAAAATCTAAATATTACTTATTTTATCTTCTACTTATTTGAAACTTGTGTTATCATGTTTACAAAAATAAGAAAAAAGACACGGTCAGACGCTATTATTCCTCTTCCCAGAGGCTGTGGGTTCGAATCCGACCTCAGCCCTTTGCCGTATGTCATCCACCGTTTTCTCCTCCCAACATTTCCTGTCTCTCTTCAACTGTCCTGTCTAATCAAAGGCAAACATAACTACAATAAAAAATAAGAAAAGACTGGACTGGAGTGAAAACATGGAATTTAAAAAGGAACCAAGGAATTACATCTTTCTAATTCCTGTAGCTGAAAAAAGATTTTGCATGCTCGGGATGAAATACATCATTCCAGGATTTATGTATGAGTTTATGAGTTATTTCTACATTTTTTATGTGCAGTTATTTTTTTTGTGTGGCTTCCACGGATGATTTTCTTCCTTTGTATGAGCGGTGTGTGAGATTGATGTCCTCTCTGTGGGTGTCCTGTACAACACTTACAGCATTACTGGAGGGTAACAGCCCATCATTTCATGCACATGAAAAGGGGTTTTGTGGGGGAAATGATGATTGAATGTGAAGCACCCTCCCATCTACGCTGCTCGCCTTTCACTTGGATTTCCTTTTTGGTTTTTCCTGCGGTTTGCCGTCTCTTATCGTTTCTCTCTGACAGTAAGCAGCTGCTTCGTACGAGTGAAAAAGGAAACAGATTTGTGTTTCATGTTCATTTGATCTATGATTACTCATCTGTCCAGCAGGCTTCGCCTTATCTGATTGGTTAAGCCCAGGGTGCCAGCTCTTCACAAACCCCCCCCTTTTTTTTTTTTTTACAACATGCGTCAGTATGTCCTTCTTCAAACATTGAGTGGAACTGCTCATTATCATCTGAGATATGAGAGAAGGCCACAACTATACTTAACCCTGTTTTCAATGTTTTAACTTCTTTTTATGTAAATCTCAAACTGCAAAAGCAAGACATACAACATCTCCATCTGAAAAAAAGAGTAAGAAAGCATCATGGAAATGCTCAGACAAAGTTAAGATGTATTGGAATTTTTAAGTGGAAGAAGTATAATCTCAAAGCTCCTGTAAGGAACTGTATGTTTTTGTTCCACCCTGCAGACAACGCTGTTTCTATTCTCTGCTGATCTTGTCCTCTTCATGCTCAGGTCGTGTTTTCTTTCAAAAAACAAATCCTGCCTTCCTGTTCCAGTAAAACATATCACTCATTGTGAAAGAAATGCTGCTTCTTCAGTGTGTTCATCTGACACCTACCCCGTAGCAGTATTTACAGGCTTTAGAGTAGAATTAATATAATAATTATCAATTTTCTCCCTGATTTTCTGGTTTACGTTTTCGGTCATAACGAGGCATCAGAATACATTTTTTGGTCTATTTCCTTATCAGCTAAACACTCAATTACAGAAGTGAGACAATCAACTACTCAGATATTTATTACATATGAGTGAGTTGCATGTGTGAACTTGAAAAGTAACATTTTAACTACCATTTTTCCTGTGAGTGAAACTGCAGCGTGAAATTGTGGAGAGTCGATGTTAAAAAGTCATCAGCAGAATTCTCTGCCAGCAAGCAGAAGATTGGTGGCGGGGATGACCGGTGCAATCGTCGTGCACATATTGAAGCTGCTTCATACTATTTACCGCTTGTAAATATGTCCATTACCACTCATTTGTTGATACTGTGAATACATCCAATTACATAGATCCCCCCTCCCGTCCCGTCCCATCCCAATAGGAAAGTCTCCTGTTGTAAGGTGCATATGTAAGCAGGAAGAATTCAGGGGCAGCCTGTCCTGAAACTTCATAGAAATGATCAGGAGTTCATTTGTGAAAAAGACACTACACTACAACTATATAAAGATAGCCTGACTGACGCATTTGGGCACCACATAGTGTGAAAGATTATTCCAAATGTTTCCCAAGCTAAAAGTTAAGAAAAGAAGTTGAATCAAATAGAAAAAGACATTTCCGAAAAAAAAAACATTGACGACAGAAATATTTCTAAAGAGAAGATGTTAGGCAGATGTACAACTGCCGGGGCTCATTTCCTGATTTCCTGTTAGCCTTCTCCTTTGGCCCCTGCTGGCCTCTCTGGGCCCCTGGTCTACTCTGTGTGCCTGCCAGGTACTTCTGCACAAACAAAGCTGTATCCAGGGCTGACACCCGCTCGATCATCTCCCCGCAGGCCAAAGCAAACAGAGGCCAACAGCACAATGTGCAAACTTTCTGTTGAAAACACATAAATATGAAGCACCCAGCGATTAAACTTCTTTGTTTTTTTTAAAGAGCAAGGTGGGAGGCCGGCAGCGGGGGTGCAGTCTCATCACATTTGAGTCTTATCATTGAGTGAGCTTTGGCTGACGGGAATGAATGCATTTGAAAATGTGTTTTCTTGTGTGCAGAAATAAAGTGATAGTTAATTACAGGTTCACACATTCATACCTCTTGGCGGTGCATTCCTTCTGCAGCTTGGTTAAGGATTCTTTCTCCTCCTTCAGATTCTCGTGTTGAGCGGAGAACACTTCCTCTGGCAGAGACAGAAAGACAAAAAAAAAACCTGTAAATTATCAGGTGTGTTCTCTTCTGCCACATCTCAGCAGCCAGGTGGGCTCGCGTTTGGTCGCCTGCCATCCACCGTTAAACATAAGCAAGATCAAACAGCTCTTTTGATGAGGCCTAAACCATTTCCTTTTGACACCACATAAAACCAGACAACATATGTATGCAAATTACAGGATTTAGTCAGATGCTGTAAATACAGAGCCGGGCAGATCAATAAAGTCAGACAGATAAGTGACAGTGATGATACAGCGTGTGGAAGTTGTGGAGCTGCCATATTGGCAAGCTCACAATACCTCAGTGTTGCATAAAACCGGAAAGATAAAAAGTGTAATTTAGGGTTGTGCCTGAAGGTTTTCTCTCATCTCTCAGCATCACATTGTGGCTGGATGTAACAGAAATATGATTTATGACTATTTAATGTTAACTTACACACAAAAACAAAAATGATCTCCAATATCTGTCAGGATTTCTCTTTTTTTTTTTTTAAATCACTGAATTCAACTTTGAAATGTCCAATGGTTTTATATAAGAACTGTTGGAACATCTGCACTGTAAGGTCAACATGTCAGAGATTCAGATGAACATGATTCTGGACTCTTTGGAAGGAAGAGGAGAAAGTTGTTTCTTATTTAAGCTTTGACCTTTGGTTGAAGCCTGAGGAGGAAAAGTATTTAGATAACTGTATGTGAGTTGGAAGAATTAGGTCCGTCCACAACTCAGAAGTCTTTTTGGGGGCACTGATGGCCTAGTGGGAGGGTCGCGTGGCGTGCCCCTTGTTCTATTCCCTTTCAGTTTGGTGCCATATGAATCCCATGTAAAGGAGCCTGCATGATTGTTATGTTTTCCCTGTAGGACACAGCGCATGTGTACCACCATAACTTAATACAGAAAAGTGGAGGAATGTGAAATAGAACCAAAATGCACGTTGTTTGATGATAACCCTGCTCTTTTAAATTTGCTATCAGCTCCTCTTCCAGATAAACCTACGCTGGAGTTTATCTGCATTCTTCTATTCAAAGTTGAAAGTAAATCTTCAACAATATCGATGTAGTGTGAGAGAGCTCAGAGCGCACCATCCAAAAATCACAGCAAATAAAACGTTATCCACATTTTTTTTTAAAGGGATGACAGCAGCTTGCAGCAAAGTTTGTTTTTTGATCAATCAAGATCAAATCATATGTGTGATGAGACGGATCAGGACCTGCTTTTTATCACCTCCATGCCGCTCACACTGACACCGTGAGGGTTGATGATAGATTATACCTTGCCAGAGAGTCAAAGGCGGGAGTGAAGGTACTCAGGTGTATCTCCGGCAGATGAGTGGGGAAGAAAGATAGTGCGAGACGCGGATGAGAAAGGCCATCTTTCTGTTGTGAATGACGACTTGAAAACATATTTGGGCCTAATTTACACTCCGGCTTTTATGTAATGCCCAGCTATTTCATAACTGTTCTATCCATCTTCTGGTCCTTTCATCCCTTGGACCTGTTTCACTTTGTATCCCTGGATTTAAAGACAAACTCCAGTGAGTACTAACAGAATGCATCCTGGCTGTTTGTGTGATGATACATAGTGTTGGCTGCAGGATCCAGAAAGTGTGGTGGCTTAGTTAGGGCTGTTACATCTGATATGAAACATGACCCAACAACAAACATGTCAGGGAACCTTTTCTGTTTTTGGACATCATAAAGTGTACTTAAAGGTTCCTCGAGCTGAAGACTTTGTGTGATTCTGAAGGATATGGGAAAATTCATGAAATCAATCTGCTTGTTTTACAGGTTTGTTCAGACTGGCCTGACCTTAGCGACCTCTGTTTAAGAGCAGGAGTGTTCAAGGATGGGTCAGGTCTAGAGCTGAAATGTAAATGGGAATTTAAAGGGACACTCTTACCCATGTGATGGTCAGTACCATCAATGATTCATAATCACATGAGCTCTAAACACACATGATCTCATGGAAATATATAACTTGTTACGTCTGGTTTTGTTCTTTTTAACGGCGAGCACCCTACCACCCTGAACCATTTCTGAAGCGTAGGGCAGCGCAGTTTTATTTTGATAAATAGTTTAGTAATAGATAGTTTGCCGCATGCTGGAAGCAGAAAATAGACTCAGCACGTTTGTTGAGCGGAGCAGAGCAAAGTGGTGCTTCTAGGAAGACTCGGAGACGGTATTAAACATCAATGTAGTCTCAGTGACGTCACCCACTGGCTTTTGAAGGTTGAGCTGAGGCACACCTTTAGCCTCTTGGCAACAACAAATACAATGCAGCCGCCTAATTATGCATATATATGCTAAACTCTTGTCCTTCATATTACCCAAAAAGATGCATTTAAAATATCATCCACGCACAGTGTGAACCAATAAAGCAATGAGCTAGCTGCTGTCAGAATGGGCTTTTAAATATGGACTTTAATGGGGATTCACAGACTTTTGCAGCCAGCCTCAAGTGGACACTCGAAGAACTGCACTTCCACTTTTGCATCAGATGTTACTGCCTGTTTATTTGTGCTCTTTGGTTTAGGATGTACATTGACATCAGGTCACAAGAGAACTCCCATATTATTACTCCATGGTGATATAGACCTTAATACAGCCTTACAACCTACCTTAATTTAGCCTTCCATAAATGAACATGGTTACATCCGGCTAAAAGACTGTTGTTCCATCAGGTCTGCTCCCTGACAATCTGCCTCTCTCAGAAATAAGTCGGCGTTTGTTTTAAGGTCCGACAGGAGGATGTAGACGTGCAGAAGCTGGGCTGCTGCTGCTAAACGATCTTAATGGTGATAGCTTCAATATGAGACCTTTCCTCTGAGGTGACAAATACCTCCACACACCACACCTTCACAGAACGGTGCTGCCTACACTTGAGCAACCCCACCACTGACATTTATTGGTCGTGAGCCCTCGCTCTGTTACCGAGCATGAGAATAACTACCGCTCCTAAGTACAATAAACGCTGTTCATGGAACTGATTTATGTCGTCTGCTCAAGGTGGAAGGAGGGAAATTAGACAGGAGGAAATTGTGACAAGAGTGTGACCCCACCAAAACCCGAACCCATTAATTCTGAGGGGAGGAAAGAAAGACTTTAACTGTTAATTCACAGCTGTTACTAGGGGGAAAAAAACTGTGGTCATGGTCGTATGTCCTCGGTTATGAATTGCGCAAAAGATATGCAGAGAACTTTGTGTAAGCATGTGTGCGTTTGCAGAAGTGAGAAACAACAAGTCTACACTCCTGCTATGATTTCACTGTAAATCAGCGGGTAGTGAGCAGCTAGTCGTTAACCTGTCGTCAGGATGATACCCAGTGCTGATGTTTCTCAGTGTGTTTTATGCAAACACTGTCCGGGGTGGCAGAGAGGGAGTGCGTAGACATGAACAGAATAGACCTCAGAGGGTCAGAGAGTTGCTTCACAAAAACGCCCGAACTTTCATCTCAGGTTTATCTGCAGAGCCTCACACCTGCAGGGCCCATGTTTGGGTTGTCTGGGCCCCTTGTTTTCAGAGAGGGCCTGTCTCCTGGGAATAACAGGTTGATAAAAGGTTGTTTGCTAGCGGGCGCTCTGACTGTGTGAGGGATGGGAAGACCACACAAACAGGTACAGATGGGATCGTAAAAGACAGGCCTCCAACACAATTTCATTTATAAATTCCATATGTTTTCAGACTCAAATTTCAGTGCCTCTTTTTTTTGATTTTTCAGACCATAATTGATGTAAGAGTTCAAATATTTGTGGATGCATATTGTGTTCCCGTGAATCTAACTCGTGAAAACACACAACACAGAACACTGTCGACAGCCCAAAAAAGCTGTTTGGAAAAAAAGCTAAATGAAATGCTAAAATTGCATTTGTAACACACAGAAAGTGTCGTACAATATGCCGTGTTCTTACACATTTTATTAATAAAGCTGTCAATAAAACTTCCATAGAAACCTGTCTCTAATACGAACAGGAATAATTCAACAAGTGAAACGCTCGCCTCTAATCGAATCACCATAAGAATCACTTGGGAACATAAATCATCCGTCCTCAGCCTCCAGCTCGTCTGATTAATAATCTTCATGACTGATGAGACTCATTTTGGTTCTTGAGGTTTATGTGATGGACCCACCAATAAGAGTCTCCAGAGAGATGTAGCCATAACTGGAATCAAATCTTGTGTTTCCAAAGAAAGAAGGATGAAAGATGAGATCGGATGAAACAAACACGTTTTGGTGCCAATCTAAATATAATCAGACACAAAATCAGCTGCTGTATGAAATACTGTAAACACTTGTCTCCAAGAGGATCCTGTCTAAAGCAATTTTTTTTCCAATGGAGAAAGAAATGAATTTGAGAAGGCTGATTGGACGAGTCAAACAACAAGCCGGAGGTAGAGCAGAGCTCAGCAGCATATGGCTTCTGAGTTACAGTGTGGGAAAAAACAACACGACTTCAACACAGCCCCATTCAGCCGCAGAATTCCAATTTATCCTGCAATACCTTTTCTTTTTTTAGCAGCTGAAGGATTCTTTTCTTCTGTTTCTTAATAAGCACTTGTCCAGTCTGGAAAGAAGCCATCAATGAGGTGCAGAGAAGGAGAGCAGTGAGTTCTTTTGGCTGCAGACCGGGTGCTGACAGGTAAAGAGGCGAAGGATTAACGGCCTTTTTTTTGTAGGATTGCAGCACAAAGAAAACTTCTCCCTGAAACCCTCTTAGTGCTATCCTTTGTGTGAGTTTGTGTTTGTCTGCATGCATGTACACACTACATGCTAATTATTACCCATCCTCATTACCATGGTGGAGGTTTTAGAAGGTGCCCCGCCTTTTGGCCAACAGCTGAAATATCCGCAGAGGACTAGTCACCTCCACAACAAATCAACCTGGAGATTTAAAGGAAGAATGTGCAACATTTTACACATACATACAGCAGAAATCAAGTATAACCTCTGTAAAAGCTCGAGTCCTGTTGGCTCGA